AATTATTCTAACTTAATTAACTGATTTCTCACGGCAAGTTGAAAACGACATAAATTTGCAAATTTTGAAGTTAAATACCCTGACAATTTTTTTGTTGTACACGAGTAAACTTCTTAATTTTATTTTTCAGTAATGAGTATACAACATTCTCAAGTACAGGAATCGGGTGACAGCATTAAAAGATAAATTTCGTAATTTATTGAAAAATAAACTTTTTTTTTTAAATTGGACAAAGGCATAACATGATTATTTGTTATTTAAAAAATGTTTTATGTTTCATTTAAAAGATTTTTTACGTGCTCTGATAGGCGTGTGTAAATGGTAAAATTCAGATATTTATAGTTTATTCGTTTAAGGGAGATAAGTGAAAAAAAGAACATTTAGACTTTACTTAAACTTAAATCGAATTCCAGTTCACCACATCGCACTGTCAATTCACAAAATTTGAACTCGACGGCTTATCAGGAAGTAGGTTGAAAATCGATGAAAAATTCCCACCACAGTGAATTAAAAAAAAAGATTGAAAGTTTTCAGATTTTAAATTACGTCCGAAGGGTCGTTTCTTTAACTTTTGTGTGTTACCTTTATTTATTAAATATCATGTTCCTCCATAAATTTCAGTATTCCATAAATCATAAATTTCAGTATTCCATAAACCATAAATTTCAGTTCAATAGCAATGACCCAAAATAATTTTTAAATGAGCCAATCTTTAGAATTTCCGATGCACAGTTCCGCGCGCTGGAGATTAAAAGGTTTCCAGTAGAGTGTTGCCATTGCTTGCTTTTAAATCATTGAGTTTGTTACTCAAAAATTCGTTAAAGGTTTACAAAATATGAAATAGAAAATTAAAAAAATTCCAAATTTCAAATTTGGTCTTCCACATGCCCATATTCGTAGGAGGATTACGTTATCAAAATTCGATGGCTCTATGCACCGTTGTTTTATCACAATGCGAGAAATAGACATACATTTATGCAGATTTTTCATTATTTAATTTCTTCAAATATAATTCAGGATTCTCATATTTGGTGGCAACAGTTTGAAAAGTGAAACGGACATTTATAGTGATTCAACGCAAAATCGCAAAACGAAAACAATAGTGCCCCTTTGGACTAAAATTTCTGATATTTTTAATTTGTTGGTTAAAAGAAGATATATGCAAAACATCATTTAAGCATTAAACAGAAAAGTCTAAATTTATTTTTGAAAAATCGATTCACCACATCGCATTTTTATCGAACAACAGCAAATGTACAAAACTTGAACTCGATAGCTTGTCAACAAGCAGGTTAAAAACCAATGGCAAAAACTGTGACCACAGAGAAAAACATGAGTGAACTAACTAAATGAAGCTTATGTGTATTTATTTAATTTATTTAACAGTTAATTTTTTTTTTGAAGCAACCTTTCCTACTTCTTTTGTTTCCAACCTACGCTTTCTTTCCAGAATGAGATTTCAGTTTCGCGTGTTATGCAAAGTAGGGTAAAGGTAAAGGTAAACGTATGGGGGACACCAGCGATGTACCATAGGTCAACTGGTAATGCCTTCCCATACTAACTCTTTGAAAAAAGAGGGGAATTGCAAGTTTTATAGGAATTTACATAGACTGAAGCTTTCCAAAAGGTCTAGAGTTTGCCTATTACGGTACATCGTGCAATTCCACAGTACGCCCCGCATCCAGTATTTATTAAAAATAATGGTGTAGGGCATAAGTAGATTACAAAATAGTCGGAATACAATTTGAGATTTACAAGATAAGTTGAACATCTGATTTGGCGCAACAAAAATAGGAGATAAACATAATTAATAAACAGATAAACATAATGAGATAATTATAATTAGTACTGGCAACACAATGTTAAAAATGAATTGTAATAATAATGCTAAACAGGTGGGTGTCCATGGGTTATTTCAGATATATTGGTTTATTGTAGTTTATAAAGTTAACGAGCGGAGCCATTTTGTTCATAATCACAGCATGTAAAAGTTCACTAAGTTTAAGCAGTATGTGGACTTACACTTGACAGAGATCTAGGCCGTAGGAAGAGAGTCGTTGCATAATTTTCTGAAACTTTGGAACTGATGTTTATCTTTAATTAAAGACCTTTGGAATGCCAGGAGATCAGTTCTTGGGGATTTTATGTGAATATTCTCTGTTAAGAGGCATGAGAAAGTGTAATGATCAGGAGTTCCCTGTTCCCCACATATACAGATATCAGAATTTGCCAAATTTCTTGCGTAGAAATATGTGGGAAAGGGTCCATGTCCTGTTATAAAGTAATTTAGAGAAGGACTCGAGTACAGAGATGAGAAGCTTACACTGGGGATCAAGTTATATGTGCGTCTTTCCTGTGGAGCATTGTTCCACAAATCTTGCCAAGATTTTGAAGCAAGTTGCAACTTGCAAAGTAGGTAGTGATAGTGACGGAGGACGTGGCCACCACCCCTTTACTATTAAGTTAATTAGCATATAGGGCCACGTCCGCCCTTATACAGAGTAAAGCCAGAAAGGCCACATGGGAGGCTTGCACAAGGCGCCCAAACCCAACGCCTGGACCATCCGGTTGGCAGTTCCGCGAACCAAATGCCACCGGGTAGACACACGTCCAAAGTGCCCGGATCCAGTGATTTTTGAATCTTCAAGAATAGCATTGTACATGGCTAAAGAAGGGCAGATATACATTAGTAGTTATTTACATGCTTCTGTTAATACATATTTGCTGACATGCAATCCAGCACTGTTACATACGTATACTTTCTAAATACCTACATGACATTACCTTAATTTTCTTTGTAATAATAAGACAGAGCTAGTATATACACCTAGCACAATAAAAATAAAAAAAAAATTTTTAAAAAAATCTTAAATGTTTCAGATTTTAAATTACGTCCAGAGGGGCGTTTTTTAACATTTTTGTGTTACCTTTCTTTATTAAATATCATGTTCCTCGCACTTAAAACATAAGATCCAGTGCAACAGCAATATCGCAAAATTAGTTTTAAAACGAGCATATCTTTAGAATTTCCGATACAGAGACTCACGCGCTGGAGATAAAAATGTTTTTTCTGCACACAACGTTGCCATTGCTCGCTTTGAAATCCTTGAGTTTGTTAATCAAAAATTCGTCAAAGTTTTAAAAAATAGGAAATCGATCATAAAACAAATTTCAAATTTCAAATTTGGTCTTCCACATGCTCATATTCGTTGGAGGATTACGTTATTCAAAATTCGATGACTCTATGTACCGTTGTTTTTTTATCACAAATACGAGAAATATACATACATTTATGCAGATTTTTCATTATTTAATTTCTTCAAATATAATGCAGGACTCTAACATTTTGTGGCAACAGTTTGAAAAGTGAACCGACATTTATGAGTCCGACGCAAAATGCCAAAACGAAACTAATAGTCCTTCGGGATTCAAATCCCTTTGGGACTAATAAAAAATAAAATAATATAATAAAATAATAATAATAATAATAATAATATAATAATAATAACATACATTAGGACACGCTTGCCCACACTATATGCAAAGTAGGGTAGAAAGATACTATTTAAGCTGATATCTGAGTTACTTCAGACAATAGGCCATGTTGATTCTCCGTTATTTAAGTTTGCAATTTTACGGCGCGCATATTAATTGCCTGTTGTTCTACGTCGGTGGTAGGGCCAAGAGCCAACTACTCGTTAAATATCTCTGTGCAGCTTCGGCTGATTATTTGACTGAGGCTTAGTTTTAATTTTACATTACTGAAATAGATGAGAAACACGCCAATGTGACAATCAGAATCACAATAACAACCAATTACTTCGCGTACATTTATTAAATTACTCAATTGATTTCGAGGGCACTCAATCGTACATTTACTAAAACACTCAATTGAAAGCAGGTCCCTCCTCATCAGGAGAACGAAATTACTAGAAGGTAAGAGAAATTACTAGGAAGGAAGGAAATTACTAGAAAGGATCAGGTCTCCTGATGAGGAGGGACCTGTAGTTGCCCTCGAAATCGATTGAGTATTTTAATAAATGTACGCAAAGTACAAGGTTGTTATTGCGATTTTGATTTACATTACTGCTTTGAGTTATAACCAAAAGTTTGTGCTGCGTTTACTAAGCAGCAGGAGTGCCGACTTTAAGTACTTTTCTTGAGTAAAAGGATCTTTTTACCCTTTGGACGACTTGCAATTACCACGGTTTAACTTAGCGAATACTCGCTTAACAGTTCAAGTAAAAATCTAACAGAAAAATAGCTTTAATTCAGCTAGAATCTTACAAGCTTATAAAAAACGTTTTAAAAAAACTCTGAAAGCTTTCAGACTGTATATTACGCCCAAAGGGGTATTTTTTTAGCAGTTTGTGTGTTACCTTTATTTATTAGATATCATGTTTTTAGCACTTAAACCATAAAATTCATTTCAACAGCACTATCACAAAATATTTAAAAAGAGCATTTGTTTAGAATTTCCGATACACAGTCTGGCGCGCTGGAGATAATTATTTTTTTCTTTCGTACCGTGTTGCCATTGCTCGGTTCGAAATTGTTGACTTTGTTAATAAAAACTTCGTTAAAATTACAAAATATGAAATAGATAATGAAACTAATTCCAAGTATCAAATTTGGGCTTCCAGATGCCCATATTTGAGTTGAGAACTACGTTATTCAAAATTTAATGTTCCTAGATGCGGTTGTTTATTCATAGTGCAAGAAACATACATACATTCATGCAGATTCTTCATCATTTAATTCCTTTGAATAAAATGCAGGGCTCTAATATTTTGGTGGCAACAATTTGAAACGTCGCTTTATATGGGATGACGCAAAAGTTCAAAACGAAGTTAATAACCCTTCTGGGCAAATCCTTCCAGCCCCTTTGGACTAATTATTTTGGTAGCCGGTTATGAAGCCAACCTTCGATCTGGCATGCATAACTTGTCATATTCCTTTCTGTGTACACTATTAACGTTGCATGTGTTATCTTTTTGCAGCTGATAACTTTCGGCCCTACCTGTCTTCCTTCCAAAGCAACGACAGTACAGATTACATTAATGCTGTTTTTGTAGATGTAAGTATTTTCGAATGATTCTGTCACAATAATTAATTAATTATTTATTAGAATGTTTACGATATAATAATATTTTTAAAACATTCTCAGATTTCATTGAAGAATACATTTTCTTATTTTCTTTGTACTAAGAACTAAGGACTATATTCTCTTATTGCTTAAAATTAAAATCTCATTTATATTTACAACAGGATTTTAAACAGATGCTAAGCAGAATGGTCTCTATTGGTCGAAATAATCAATGTAGAATTAAAATTTTTATACGTTTGGATAAAAGCGTGAAAAACCTGTCTCCTAAATGAAATTTGTTTGTAATCTCTACTTTAATTTATCAAATTGCGATGATTTTTCAATTAGCGATCAGTAAGTTGCTAATAATAACGTATTTTTAAGTCGAAAAGAATTATGTTAACTTACGCCATCGGATAGATCAAAAGACTCTGAAAGATGGATGGCGTAATGTATTTAGTTGTTACAATGATTACAGGAAATAATTTTCCTACGTTCAGATATACAGAGGCTGTTCGCACATTTTTAGACGATTTTGGTAATTGGTAAGCGGTAATAAAAATTCGTTTGCTGCAAAAGAAGTAATTGCAATTGCACTATGTTTCTAAAAGTCAAAATTATCGTCTGTGGCTTGAAAGTTTTGCTTTTATTCAAAATGGCGAATTTAACAAAGCAGTGGTTCGAAGGCTACATTTACGCTCTTTCCGAAGAGAAATATGCATACTCCGTTATCCAAACACGATGTGAGAGACATGGTTTTGTGAAATCTAAAGCGTCGATAGGTAATATCATCAACAAGAAAGGAAAAAAAAACGTCAAATTGGAGCCTCAAGTGGGACAAAAATTCCAAACAAATATCCAAGCAAAAAACGGACATCTTCGACTATTGCAAAGTTACGTTGTTTAATGTTAAAAGAAAATCCCCCTATTCAAAAGGAAAGTTGCAAAATCATTAAAATGCTCGATGTCCACTGTAAAAAAAATGATAAACGTTGATTTAAATCTTAAGAAAAGGCGAAAAAACGCAATGTGCATCGTTCTTCTTCCAAAGCATATCGCTCAACGCAGGACAGCTGCAGAATTCTATATGAGAAAACACTTATCCAAAAAAATGGAAAACAATTGTCACAATAGAGGAAGCATGGGTGCATTTAAATGATTGTAACATAAAAAGACCCATTTATTATCATAAAAGCAGAGGAAAAATTTAAGTACATGGTTCAAAGATCGAAAGAAAGTTTTTCTAAGGGATTAAAAAAAAAAAAAAAAAAAAAAAAAAAAAAAAAAAAAAAAAAAAAAAAACAAAAAAAAAAAAAAAACAAAAAAAAAAAAAAAAAAAAAAAAAATAAAGAGAGTGAAAAAAAGTGTCAAGATAACTCCAAATACTATCAGGAACATATTTTATCGCATTTTTCTGAATGAAATACCATCGCTTTACCCACAGTGCCATCCACACTCCATCAGGACAAAGCTAGCAGTCACACATCAAAATCCACTGTAAATTTCCTAAAAGAAATGGAACAAAAAACTGGTATCGAGGCCATACTCTTCACTGATATCCCTACTAAATCTCCCGATGTGTAATCTATGAATTTTTGTGCTTTCGGACTTTTAAAAACTGCATTATCCAAACGTTGTCCCAAAACCTAACAGGACTCTGGAAAGCTGTTCGGGAGGAATGCGATATAATACCTCTTCTACCACTTCAAAAGGCATTATTATCCTAGAAATTGCGTTGTCGAAAGATAGTTCAGAATAAGGGATGTCAAATAGAACATTTTAAACACAAGAATTTTATGTAATTTAGTTTTGTGAATACAATATACATCGTCTAAAAATGCGTGAACAGTCTCTGTAATCCTTTTCTTTCTTTTTTATTTTCTGCTTCCTGGAGACTAAAACGTATAAAATAATGTAAATAAAATTTATTTTTACGTTGTTAAATATAAAATAATAATAATAATAATTTTTATTATAATAACATTAAGAGAAACATGCCTCAAATAAATCATAAAAACGAAGCAACAACCTGTGTTAGGAGTAGAATTTTAGCATAGAAACTGAATTTCGATTTCGAAGGCGAGCAAAAACCTTCTTCATCAAGTGCAAAGAAATCTGCAACTGAAAAACCAAGTTACGAACACATTTATACTCTCCCGTCTCTCTCGACTTTCTTACGGTATAAATGTGTTTGTAACTTGGTTTTCCAGTTTCAAATTTCTTTGCTCCTGATGAAGATGGATTTTGTTCGCCTTCGAAATCGTTTCAATGCTAAACATCTACGCCTAGCACAGGTTAATGCCTCTCTTTTATGATACAATAACGTTCTTGGTCGACCAAGAATAGAGTGTGCAATGACGCAATAGAATATAGTTCTACAGAACTTCCTACATTATTCCGTAATGAACAGTGCTATTTCATAATTTTTTCTTTATCTCATTAATTACTTAATAGGGAAATATTTTAAATAATGCTAATTTCATTTTCATTGAAGTGTAAAACTTTGCACGTGTGTGACGACTACCTTCTGTCCAATATTTCTGAGAATATAAAAAAAAATTTTGAGAGAATTAGTACATAAATGTATAGAATATCGCCTCTTAAATGACCACTTCTGAAAGTGACCAATATTTCTGAGATTATAAATAAATAATGATATAAGCATTATTTCTCTAAGATGACCATCTCTATAGAAGACCAAAGCTTCTAGAATCTTGGATAGTCTTCAGAGAGAGAATTCTCTTTTCTGCGAAATTATAATTCAATATCAATAACAGTGTGCGCGATTAAAAAGCATCTTCCGAAAAAGATTAGTTTCCGTAATTTAAAAAAAAAAATTCTAATTTTGCCAATATTTGTCGTAGCAATCTTTGTCGTGTAATTTTCAAGTAATTATACATGTAATTTAACATTTTTTATAAAAAATATATGTTATTTAGAATTTAGAAGATATTCTAGAAAATGATAATCCATTGAAAAAAATCTTTTCCATGACTAAATGAATTTAAAAAAAAAAATAGTTAAAATTAATAACAAAATAACAAGAATAAATCATTAATCACATCAATATTTGTCAATATCAATATTTTCAATGTACAGCATTTAGAAATAACTTAGTAAAATACATATAAAAATTAAATAATATGCAAGTTTCAGATGTGCAATGTCAAAAACTAAAATGGTAAATTTGAGAACAAATATCCTCAGAATGTTTGACAACCGAAGTCCTCGGACAATGCAGTAGAATATTCTCAGGATGTGAAATTAGTGAAGTCCAGACATTAAGATCAACATCTTCAGGACATCCTCTCATATCCCGGGACATAGCAATTAATAAGACTCCTCAGATATTAATACGATGTCCTCAGGACATCTGAGAATGAACATACTCAGGACATCCTAAGTATGTCCCGGGATATTGCGACTTAAATAGGACATCCTGAGGATGTTCTGTGCAATGGAGATCATAAATGAAATTAACGTAAATAAAATTATTGGGGGTTCGTAAATGAAATGTGAAGGGACAGTAACAGAATGAAAAGAAACAATAAAAGAAATAACACTTTAAAAACATGAAATAGAAAACTATTTGTATTATAGGAATGAATATAGAAGGATATCTATCACATTAATACGAAGGAAAGATTTTAACATCTTTGGACTTGATATAAAATTGTAGCATGAAACAATAAAAATGGTAATAATATGTTATGTTCAGAGATTTTCAGAGAAAATAAAGGAAACTCAGGAAAAAATTAAGACTCGTGACTTAAAAAAGCCACGTGATCTCATTGACGTACGTATATATCACAACGTGTCTTTATGCCAGCAATTTTAACCTCAGTTTGTGGAATTAAGTTCCACTTCCTCCAGCAATGCTATCTTCAGAGCATCCTAGGAGGAGGATGGAAGCTGTTTTTACAAAGTAGTCACATAAATTCTCTGTGAGGTTAAGATCAGATTTTGCTGGCCACGTCGCTCAGTGTCATCACTTTCAAGGAATTTGTCAGCGATGTTTACTCAATGTGGACAAGCATTATAGCTCATATATAAAACGCTAGATCCTGAAAAGTCTTACATGAAAGTTTAAAGCATCGTCCCAATATCTACGGTTGTGCACAGATCCGGTATTGAAAACGTTTACGGGTGTACGCCCATCTATCATTACTCCTCCCCATACCATTGCATCTGCATTATCGAAACGTTCACATTCCATAATGTTCAAAGGAAGATTTCATGTTCCTTACTGCCTCCGAATGTTAACGCGGTTGTTAACCTCTTCGTCGTCTGTAACGCGTCTAGCACGTTTAAATGAAACTTCCACACAGCGACCGAGCGAGTTCTTTTACATTTTAAAACTTTTAAACGTTTAAAACGCTTTCTAAATGTTTACTTGTTTCAGTTTTTATTTTTTCTTGTTCTAATACCTCCTAGAGAGCAGTACTAATCAGGCATTCTATTTCTAATTGAATTTGCCCCGGTTTTTATGAATATTCGCGCCACAGCCTTCAGGTTATCAGGCTATCATGGGGGAGACGGCTTCGCGGCAATGCACTAGAGTACAGCTCGCGACTCGTTCTCGGAACTCCACCTGCTCTCGAGACTCTCTACGCTACAACTCGCGATGCATTCGACGACACACAGAGCACGGCTCCCGACTCTTCGGTTCAGTCGTTCCTGGAGCTCAATGAGCTCCCTCGACGATGCACGAACCGCGATACACTACGAGACTCTTTCGGTGCACTCGACGACCCACTCGGCACTCGCTGCCCGGCTGTCAACTCGATCGACTTCGCAGGGATTGACTCGCTAGACGAGGACACCAACTCGATACTAACTATCTCGCACTCTATGCGAGGCACTCTCACGCGCCCTCTCGACGAGGCACACATACTAACTGACTGCGGACCAGCAGGGTTTATATAGCTTTCGGCTTGTGTTCGAGAACATTCTGAACTAAACCGGTACGGTAAGAATTCGTTCCAGAAGGTTCTCCATCCGTCCATGGTATATCGCCAATTTTGTTTCCACATGTCGCCAAATGGGCGATTTCTTGTCAAATGAAGCAACCCTGCCTTCCCTTGCCATTTTATGGCAACCCTAAAACTGCTTTGCTGGGAAGCCATCTCACCGCGCCTGTACATTTCGTAACAATATTATTCTTTAACCATACCATTGCAGCAACTTTAAATAGCAAATCTCACTGGATAATTTAAAATGCAAATTTGATTTCAGTTATAACAAATAAGTAATGTAAATTTTAGTTATAAAAGTGAGATACTGTGATTAATGACAAGAAATATTTTTTCTGTTTTTTACAGGGTTATCTTCGCTCCAAAGAATTCATTGTGACCGAGTGGCCTATGACTCATACAGTTCCAGACTTTTGGTCACTTGTGTATGACCATGATTGCAATTCCATCATTGTGTTGTGTGATCACCCACCATCCAATGTGAGTCACACGCATCTCTGTATACCTTATGTGATTTTATGACTTAGGTACACGTATTTAGGATTCTGCTGTATCTCCAAACTTGTTTCAATGTCCCTCAGACCCTACTGGACTGGAGACAAGCTACGACTTAGTCTGAAACAAATCAAAAAATGGTCTTGGAATAGTTAAAATAATCTTTTCCATTTTACTCTTAAATGAACCAAAAGTCACACTACTTGTGTTATAGACGAACCTTCGCTGCTTATTTAGTTTAACATGAGATAAATTTAAATTCAAATGTAGATGACCTAGTCTTTGACTACAACACAAAACGGATTACTTACGGTGGCCCAAGATAGTTAACCCTTTAACTGTCAAGTTATTTTGATGATTTGGGTACACAAATTGTCAAATTTTTTTATTGCAAAAACCAAATGTTTAGTACAAAATAAAATATACTTAAATAGTTAAAAACTGATATTTTGACGTACATGGGTAAAATTTTAAAGTTTTGTAGCCACAACATATTTTCTTGAGGCGGCTGTCACTCAACATGGCAGTTGCAAAGTTCGCTTCTAGTGAAGCATTATTTTCTAAAAATGAAAAAAAAAATAATTATTATTTTCTAAAAATAAATAAATGAAAAAAATAAGTAAATAAAAGTGAATACATATTAGTATTTCCAGTAATTCAGTCTTGTGTGGTACAACTGGAAACACTTTTCCAAGCACAAACCAACTCCACAATCACTACACCAGATTCGTGATTCCTTCCTTATCTTTTCCTTATTTTATCCTTTTCGAACAACACACTTTGCACTGTCTTGTAGCTCACGTTTCGCAGGAATAGGAGGAAAATGAGATATAAAGTGTCGTTCAGTAAGACGGGCAGGGTTATCTGTTGTAGGTGGTCTGCCAAGATTCTTTTGTTCCAGAAGCTGCATCATCATATTTATGTAAAAGCTCTTCTACAACTTGGGATTCGAAATTCTAAAAATGTAATACGTTTCCCAACTACATTTTTATAGAGCAAAAATGAGTTCCACAGTACCTTGTCTCTAATAAATGTAGAAATATCTTTTTATAATATTTTTTCTGACGTTTTCGGATTGTTGGATGAAAGGATAGTTCTTGATCACAGCAATCTACACCACCCTAGTTAGATTGTAGTCAGAAACAATCTTTCGGCTTGAGTATATCTTCATTTTTAAAAAAAAATTTTTTTTTTAATTTTGAGGCTGATCATGGAAGTATCATGAATACTGCTTCATCAAACACACATCCTTCATCTTCGGTTGAAGAATCTAAATCATCTATATAACGTTTCAAAGAACTGGACACTATTTTACAACAAAAAGATCTCATGCACCTTGAACCAAATAACCTCTAACGTTTGAATTCTTCAGTAAAGTGCTGTCATCTATTGAACTGAGCGCACATTAACTTTTTCCGAAATACAGTCGGGTTTGACAAAGAGATGAAGCCGAAATAAACGTCTCCCGATATATATTCGGGTTTAACAATACGATGCACTCAAAAAAAATTACCCCGAGTAATACTCGGGCGTGACATTTTCGAACACCAGTGCTGTGCCCGAGATTATCTCGGGCATGACAGTTAAAAGGTTATCGGCGTGTGTTTAAACGTCGTCTATGGTTAAAGCCAGATTTTAGCGGATGGCGGTTTGGCGAGGCTGCCAGAAGCCCTACCTTCTAAACATTCAAAACCCTCAGGTTAAATACACATTGCATTAACTCTGTAAACGTAATGCACTTCACATATTGTGTTCTAATGTGTGAATTGTATTTTATTTTATTGCCTTTTTACATTACTGTACCTTGTTTTATATTATTTAGTAACCGCTACGAGACCAGCCTTCGTCTGGCTTTTAAATGTACCGGAAAATGCCTAAAGGGCATTAATTAATTTAATGTTTGGCCTTGCAAAACAACTTTATAAAAAAAATTCAATAAAAATATATCTTATATTAAAAAATTTCAATGAAATTAGCAATGTCCCTTAATACAAATATTAATTATCCTAACAAATAAATTAGCCAACTTCCCGTTGCAAAATCTTAAGAATTCAAATGGTATAAAGGACGTTAAGAACTTTGTTTCCTAAAAAAACAAAATGCAGAACTTTTAAGTGAAATATAAATTTTATGTAATTAAAACCATATATAATTAAAACATAATATAAAAAATTCTAAAAATGTAATACGTTTCCCAACTACATTTTTATAAGCAATAAATCTCACATTTTCAAGAGAAAAGTCAGCAGTCCAGTATCCACAGCAATGAATTAAAAAACTGTTGCCAAAACCATATTTCTAAAGGAATGAAACTATCATCAGAAAGCAATAACCAATCAAAATTGTGCTTTGTGGTTGACATAATTCAAGATATACAAACGTCTTTGCCATTAGCTAATAAAGAGAGAGGGGGAAAAGAAAATTTTTCCTGGTATGCTTCGCGAGACACATACGTATCAGACTAAGAAGATTGCGATGTGCGTGTTGTGTGTCCAAAAATTAAAAGAAAATAAGCAACTTTTTATCTCATATTTTCAACAGCAGTCCAGTCAGTACACAAAGCATTGAATGAAAACCTGTTGCCAAAACTACATTTCTAAAAGAATGAAACTATTCAAAATGATGCGTTTTCATCAAAAAAAAATGAAATGAAAAAATAACTGATTCGAATTTTGAAAAAAATTGCTTCGAGGTTCACTAGCTCTTGTCTTTATGCACCTATGTACCAAATTTCTTAGCCCTGGATCTATTAGCTTACGCGCAGCAAAAACGAAAGACACAAACAGACTCTTTCTTTGATTGTATGGAGATAGTTGTAATCTTGGTACCATTCAATGTAAGCAAGTAACTTAAAGCGTTATAGCTGTCTACTGCCAGATGAGCAATGGGAACACCATTGCAGATATACGGTACCCATAACTCACCTATTGCGGATGTTTGCCTACCTAACGGACGCTCTTTTATTCGTTAGTGGCGGATGTGGGGGCAAAACTATGATAAACAGATGGCGCCCTCCTTTCATTAGTCAAAAGATTAAATACACAAAAACCTAATTTGCGTTCTCATAAGAAATATAAAAAGGAGAAGTTATAATAAAGGTTTGAATCATAATAATTGGTATAATTAGCTTAAAAATACCTTATAAATAGTAGTGTAATATAAATATGAGCCAGTTTCTTTTACAAAGTCCATGATGAAAGTATTCCTCCTAGTGTAATAAAGCATACTTAATCATATTTGAAATTTAATTTATAAATTTGAAAAAATTTAATTATTATTTATTAAATTATTATTTTGAAATTTAATTTAAAAATATTTTAATCATATTAGAAAGCCATCCTTAAGAGAAAATGAAAGTTGTGCATAAAACAAACGTTTCCTCAAAATATAACATATATTTCAAAGCAGCATTAGGTATAATTTCTTAAACCTAAACCTGTCTTTGTTCATTACTTATGAAATGAAACATAAAATACATGCAGACCTCATTATCAGTCTACTCGCATGAGAGTTTATCCCGCTTATTACGTCACAGGCTTTTTAATCCTGACCAATTCTTATTTCACTTCAATGTGATGTATATCGGTTATTAATTCCCTTTTGAAATTGTTGACTCATTATCACGTTCAGAATCTCGGTATGAATAAAATCATTCGTTCTTCGGAAGATTCCTCAAAATTGTTGCCCAGTTTGGAACTGTATTCCTACCCTCCGAAAAAGCAATCAAATCAGCTAATATTATCTGTCAGTCAAGAAACCAAACAAACACATTGCGACTCCTACTCTAATTCATCACCCCCACCCCCCTCAAATAATTCAAGAATTTTGTTTCTAATTATATTAGACCTTGACAAGTTGACGGCAGGTTTTCTAAATGCCTTAATAGAATTCAAAGTTTGGAGATTTCTTTTATTCTACAATATGATCATGCAGTCTGAAAGATTTTATTACTACTTAAAACATTTTGTGGCTTATATATTTAATTTTTCTGCAGAGTTACCCGCAGTTTTACCCCTCCGAAAAAGAAAAGGTGAAGAAGTTTGGCCCAGTGTTCACCATTGAGACCGTTTCCTACAGTACCCTCCCCAACATAAAATCCTGGATTTTCAGGATACTGAAAAAGGTAGGTGATTGTATATTACATTTAGGTGGTTAAAAAATTTATTATGAACTCTCCACTAACATTTCGACCTTACTCAACATTTCTATTCCCTCACATAATTTAAATTCTAATGAGTAATTTTGTGACCTAAATTAATTTAGGTGGTTAATCAGACTCTACTTATGGTAATTGAAAATTAATTTAGTAAGTATAATATTTACAACAAATACGCTGCTTGACAATTTTTAAGGAACAACTAATTCACTCAAGGTTATAAGGTTTTATTTATATTTATTAATAGCTATTTTTGGTTAATCTTTGGATTATGGTAACTCGGCGATTTTTTGGCGAAAATTTGGTGACCAACCCTGCTACAGCAACCTGCTAGTTTTTGTTTAGACGCCATTTTGTTTTCACGGAGTAAAGGCATTTTTTTTTTTTTTTTTTTTTTTTTTTTTACTCAATATTTTTTTCTAACAATCTGCTAGCCGAATTACGCTTATGCTAGAACTTTTATAGAAGAAAAGTACTTAAGCATGACGAAGATTAGGTGCGAAATTGGGAGAAAGTGCAGAATCGCAAACTGCTTGCCGCGTTTTTAAGAATTGCACACACACGGTAATCATGTACACGTCGACCTATTTTCACTTAAATAAAATCCCAGAATTGCACAAAAATGGCATTGCGCACACTCTTGACTTTATCCATGTACAATGCTAAAGTCCTAGCTAGTAACCTTTATCGCCTTACCAAAATGTCGCCAAACAACCTGTTACCATATTCCAAAGATTAGCCTCATTTTTTTGTAAGCTTTCCCCGGATTCTCGTTTTCCTCGCGTTTCCTCTCCAGGATGTAAATGATGATGTAGTGTGAACGAGAGTGTTTTAGCAGTTGAAGCGGAAAGATTAAACAGAGCATGATTTCGCTATTGTGAGTGCACGTTATTAGTTTCTATCAGGTGTTAATCTTAATAGCGGCATTACGTTCTTTCTTCCGAGTTAGTATCCTGCCTATGTAGGCTTCTGAGTCAACCGGTTAGCTTAAATTGAATTGTATATTATTGCACTACTCTTTATCTTTAAATTTAGCGTTACATTATATTTTAGTTCTCACCGCAAGTGGTATGTGTTTTGTCTGTAAATATGTAGGTTCGTGTCATCTGTTAAATATTCTTATATATATATATATATAATAGTAAGAGAAGACCTGAAGATGTAATATTCTTAAGATATAATATTCATGGTAAGTTTATATCATAAATACAAGAAGTTTTAAAACGTCATTTGAGTACTCATGTTCGTGAACGAGTATCCGGATAACTCGAGGCAGGGCAAAATGTCACTCAAATTTCTACACCAGGTGTTCCTAGAACATGGTATCAGGATTCTTGTAATTTTTTTCCTTGAATGGAGAATGAGAACAAAACGAAAAAAGAGAACAAAACAGAGAGAACATGGTAAGGTGACCTAACCGCTGAAAAACGAATGTTAGAGCAACAGCGGGTATGATATACCCCACCAGTACGGCGTACAAGGAAGTTAATAGATGTCTATATCAGATTTTTATAAGATTAGAGTCATTTGAAATTCTTCGATTTCAGGAAAGTGAACAAATATACAACTGTCTCGCTGGGATTCGAACTCCGGTCCTGCCAAATACGCATCGAACGTGCTTTCCAGTTACACCACAAGGACATGCGAAAAGGATTAAGAAAATACTACCTTATATACTACCCTTTTTGAAAGGCGACTGGAAATGAATCGCTTCAGTCGCCAAGTCTTGGTCGTGACGATTTATTTTTCAACAATATTTAGTTCGGGCGCCACTTTTAAAGTCATTTAAAATTATTTTTTCCATGTCAGGAAATTGAAACAATCCCCACTGCCATCGCCGGGGTTCGAAATCTGGACCTCTGAATACACATCCGTTGTTCTTCCTGTTACACCGCGAAGGCATGCGGAAAGGAGGGAGAGAGTACCTTATAAGCTATTAAATTTTAAGCTCTATTCACGTGCAAAATAGCAAACAGCCTACTATAATGTTTTAAATGTTGATATATATTTGAATCCAATGGTTGTATTTAAGTGTTATTGTTGTAATATATATGAATTGCTATTTGTTTACTTGTTCCATTTTATGTAATAATTTTATAATGTCCATTTACTTAATTGAACCTTTAGCCAAAATGTTGTGTTCGTAAGGGTTTACTTCTTGTATGAAACCGCAGATCTTGTAATTTTGAATTAGGAAAACGATGACTTACATATCAAAATATAAGCAAGCATTCTCCTGACGGGTCGTGACCACATGGCAGCCAGGGAAACGTTTGGAATTTTCCTAAATATGCCTTTTTGGAGCGCTAGGTGCAATTTTTTTTTTAGAAGATTCCAAAAGACCTGCAAACCCTATACAAAAGCCAGCATTTAAGCTGCATGAGTAGCTATACTTCAGAAACATTGACAAAATGAATCATGAATTCACGATTTCACAATTCTTTAAAGTTTACTCTACATCAATAATTTAAGATAGTTCTCGCTGCTAAGGTGTCTTTGCACTTGTTTCTGTATTCTTCTTGAGTTATTTATAGTTAAGACGCAATAACACGACGAACAAATACTAATTCAGAAAGTCAAACAACAAAAATCAGCGTTATATTTTCGAATTTTCACAGGACTAGTTTCGATGGTTTTTACCGATACTTTCAATTTTTCTTCACACTTTCACTTTTTCTGCTGCCCAAATTATTCGAAAAACATCTTCCACTGGTGAACTGGATTTTCTAGAGGCATTTCACATTCATAAAAATCTTTCTGTTCTAGTTAACGATCCTAATTCCAATCCATCTTTGCCTTCGGCGTTAAAGAAATTATGTTTTAGTTCTGGTTTCATCAACAGATGGCGCCACTAGCTTATTTTCTGTTCAGGCTTTCTTATCTAATCATTATACGTATCCTATAGCGTTCATTTGTGTTTTTGCAGCTGAAGATGGTGCCTCGGTAAAACCATCGAAACTAGTCCTGTGAAAATTTAAAAATATAACGCTGGTTTTTGTTGTTTGACTTCTGAGTTATTTATAGTTGTTTACTCGGCATGAACTAATATTTATTGCAATAAATTGCAAGTATAAATTTCTTCCAGCTTATCTGAATTAGTTATGGAAGTGATATGCACGAACTCGTGGCTTTTAATAAATACTACGTTATTGAGATTAAGTGGTAAACCGTTTTTCTACCAGGAAAAAAGTATCTTTGTGTTACTTAATTAAATTTTTTAAATGCTGATTTTTATAAACAGAACTCTTAATGTAAGATAGTGTGAATTGCACGAAATCATTGCCTATTACAGAGAATGAAGAATTTTTTTAATGAATGTAATAAACATTGCATCTCTCAGTTTCATATAATCGAGCATTTCGTTTTAGTATGCTGTAATTATTGAATTTGCAAAATAGTTCATGAAGAGTCCCAAAATTCAGTTAGCTGATTAAGGCTCTTTAAAATTTCAAGATTATTTTTGATTGATTTCTGGATTCTTTTAATTCCACCCCCCGCCCCCAAAACAAAAGAAAAGGAAAAAAATGAGGCAAGAACTAAAGAATAATATATTTAATATCTTAAAATCTTGGAGAAGGGAACATAAACATTCAAGGATAGTTTATTTCAGCAAAAACGAAATTTTTATCCCATAAACTCGGACTCAAAGGACTAAGATACTGATACTACATAAAAGTTGAACTAATCTTTATAATAACATCTGAAGCTCAAGTTTGTGACAGGAAAAACAACGGATCAAATACGCCCCCGTAAAACCACTTCTTCCTTAAGTCTGATGTGTAGGCGGAAAAGCCCTTGGCACATAATATCTAAGAAAAGAATTGGAATGTTGAGACTTCTGAATAAAATTTCCAATGCACGTAATTTAGCCGGTGAATTTTAAAAACGAAAGTTTAGGATACGGTAAAAATTTCTCATAATTTCTTTAATTAAAGGGCAGTAAAGCATGTTTAAAATTATAATGCCATCTGTTTTGGATTAAAAAATAATTGACGTGGACGTAGTGAAAAAAATAAAGATAAGAAAGTTCAGTATTTCCTTGGCTAGACAAGTAAACTAGAATTAAGTTTAGAAACTGTTTCCAGTTGATCAAGAGCTTTTAAAATTATATTAAAGATACTTAATTTTTGTTTTTTTACATTCCAACTTAACACTGGAAATGTGTTATGAACTCATATATATTTCAGTCGAATATTTTTATCAGGAAAAGTATTTATAAGTATTACATATGCATTGAAATATCAAATAAATTTTGCAGAAGTGGTTCTGAACCTTTTCCTCATGCACCTCTTTCACCACTGCTAGAAGATAATCTCTACCCTCCTCTTCAATCTCGAAAACTGCAAATAATCAATATATATATTGTTTTAGATTATTTTTAATGTGTTTTATAAACTAAGCAGCAAAAAGTAGAGAATATATTGATTAAGTTCCAAGCAAACTAAAATTAATATTTAACAGCTAAATAAAAGGCTGACTCCATTCTCCTCCCCAGCTGAAACTATAAAATTATCCCCTCCCTCGATTTAGAATCCCTCATATAATATTTCAAGAGCTGCAGAAGTACGGTGAAGTGTGGTTTCATTTGGTTTGGTGTATTATGTCAAAGTACACGTCTAAGAGGAATACCTTCGTGGAGGACTTGCCAAGGTTGGCTAGTATCCATGTTACACATACGGAAATTCATGTACCCTATGCAAAAACGTCCATGGAGCGAACCTTTCGCCTGGAACCGAACCTTTCCCGGAACTACCAGGGTTTCGCGACTTTTTCCTGAACTACTCTCGGCCGTTGGTGGTCCCGACGGGGAACTGAGTCCCCAAATATGAAGAAGTATTCTGTGACAATTCAAAACACTTTCTGAAACGTTTTCTATAATTTAGTTGGAGATATTTTATTTCTACATTTCATAGCATAATGCATGGCATCCGAGATATGTTCCATAATGTTGAGATTTGGTATTTTTAAATTCTGATGATTGTCCTTCTAACAGTACTTTGGCAAATCTAGACTTCGGTAGTTAAATAAACAATTAGACCTAAGCGATCAGAATGAGCGCAGGACATGAACTAAGCCTCATCAGAAAAGATGAGTGCAGAGCACTCATTTGAATACTAGATAACAATCTCTATTAAGTAGCCCCATACTCTGTAAAACATCTTCCATACATATGGAATTCTTGGTAAAGTTTACTGTAACATACAGATTCTTCCTTCTGCCTGAAACAATTGAAAACTTCAATGATTAGATGCGATTACTCATTTTCAGTCATCATAAGTCCAGAGACCAAGTTTACGAGCTCAGCAAGCTGCATGGTTTTCTGTTGGTCTCATATAAAGATCCAGAACGTTGTAATCCTAGACCACATAGACATGGCTTAAATCATACAAATTTATCATTCTTAGAGCGTGATAGTTTCCACGGATGTCTGTCAGTTTATATATGTAATGATGAATACAACGGATGGGACGATCATAAATTTTCCGTGTCTCCATAAAAGCCTCTATGAGGCCTTTATTGTCTTAAGCGTTTAGTAGCATGATATGTTCTTACAGCTACTTGATTCCTTTGCAGAACTTGGCTTATAGAATATTGTTATAGACTCTGGTTACCGGTTTTTTTAATCACTTCAATGCTATTAAAGTCTCTGAAGTAAGATCTCACTTTAGGCAAGATAAAGTAGACTGCAGGTACTAATTTCTAGTACAAAAACAGGTGGTTGAGGATCGTAACACTTTTCTTTGTTAGAATTGCTTAGTGAGAATTTGTGTGTCATCAGATTGTCATGTAGCAAAACCAGGTATTCGAGCTATTTCTGCTCAACGCTCTTAACTCTCTTCAGACCATTGTTCATTACGTATTGATAAAATATGAAACTGATCAATTGTCTTTCGTGAAGGAGTTTTTTGTGAATTATGATTTCCAGTCGCATAACTTCACCTTCATGATGGTCTTTGCTGAAGATTCTTGAAAACGAAGTTTTTTTCACCATAGTAAACTTTCTACAATCTAAATTAATAATTGCTGTCAGTCTCAATTTGATAAGCAAAGCACTAAATACCATCTCAAGTAAATTTATTTGAAAAACAAAATTCCTCTTTATTTGCTCAGCTCTCGATTCAATGAGAGAAAATGCTCACTGGTTCAAACAAACGATTAACGTGTTCATTTCGAGGGCCAATCAAACGCTCATATCAGGAAGGAGTTCAAAAATCGGAAACTGACGCATAATACTCTTCTGCGATAGCCATACGGTATTTAACTGTCACGTCATACATTTACGACTGAATCCCAAGGTCGTTCAACATGCTCAAAGACATCGGAAACTCGTAGGATGCACTTCTCCTCAGGGCTAATTGATAGCGACACGAGCAAGCAACAAAGACCGAAATGTCGCATTACCAGTCTTCTTCGAAACCTCTACAGCAAATGACCTCGAATATGACAAGAACATGCAACTCCGCATAAGTAATAAGATATGTCATGGCGCCACGATCCACAATGTACCTAATGGACCCAACTAGGCACGCCCACGAACTGGAGCCACAGCTCACCAAGGCAGTGATCAATCACGTCAACGCATAGGTCTTGCAACGAAGCCCACATCAAGCGTTCATGAAGTCTCACCTCCTCATAGCACATTAAAAATATCTGGGGGGAGAGTTTAGCGATTTCGAGAACCAGTCTAACACTCTCACCACGAAGCAGTTGACATATCGGAAACTGTCACACTGGAGCTGTTTTACGATAGCGGTACGCTGTTTAACTGTCATGTAACAGATTTATGATCGAATCTCAAGCTCGTTTAAAGTAGCCGTGGATATCGCCGCAGACACATTGTACGCCACATTTTCCATCAGTGCTAATAGATGGCGACACAAGCAAGCAACAAGAGCCACAAAATTGCACTAGCGAGCCTGACACCCTGGGGCTGCTCCACTTGCACAGAAAATTCTGTCCGTAAGGAGGTGGTATTTTAACTCTTTGAAAACCGAAGTCTTCGCTAACCTGTATGCATAAATACCGAACCGCCCGAAAACCTTTTCGAGAGTCGCAGCAATTTCCTTCCCCTCCCCTTCCATTAACCCACAAAGAAGAATGAAGATTTCAAATGACATCCTTTCTACTCCCTAACAAATAAAGATAAGGAACCATAAATAAATCTTTTTATGACAAACTATCTGCAATAAACTGATACAATGCATTTGGGAAAGCTGCACCTGTTATTGCATCTCTTAGAAGAGGGAAGAAAACAACATTGGAACTTCAGCCGTTTCGGGCGGTCGTGGTCGTTGGAATGAAAGGCCGTCTGGGACGTTATGGTCTTCAAAGAGTTAAGAGAATCAGTTGACAGTCGTATAAGTAATGTTATCAATTATCGTTTAACAAATTTCCTGGAATATATTTAAAAAGAAATTTACACTGAAACTTCGTAGGAGCTTTGTGTATTTTAGGTGCAATACCTGCAGCTAAAAACAAAGTTCACCGTCACACTAGAAGAAGCAAGCGAAACATCTTTATATTGTTGCTCAGATCATTTGTACACTCAAGTTGCGATAGTGCTATTTAATTACTTCACTTCTCAGTTTCGTGAAAACCTGATTAAAAAAAAAACTCTGAGTATCTTAAAGCGAAACTTGTGTTTCTTTCCAGGTCGTCTCATTGACCGAGTTGATGTCCGGAGTGAAAGCCGAGCCAAAGACGACACAATTGTTTTTTATCACCTGTTGGCCCTTAGGGCACAAGGTCCCTACCTCCACCAATTCCCTAGTAGAGCTCATGAACATGGTAGAGAGGTGGAGACAGAGGACCTCCTATGGACCTGTACTCCTCGTGTCAAGGTAGGTCCAATTTAAGTTTTTCAATCCCAAAATCTTAGCCATTTAATTCAAGTTAAAATGTCAAATGTAATTAACTTGCCTAAGCAAGACTTGGCTCTGCACTGAGTATTCTCGAAGTAAATGCGGCTTCCCGAAGGTGAAGTTAGTAAAACACTTCAGGTAGTAGAGATGCGTAACAGAACAGCATCAGCAAAAGTTGCCAAAAACTAAATACTTTAAATAATTTGCATTCTGGTGTGATTTAGTGAAAGTATATGGAAACTAATAAGATTAATTGTTTAATTAACTCAAACATTATAAAATTGCCTTCGTAGTTAAATTCTTAAGGCAAATGAGAATTAATTATAATTTTATCCGTTTCATAATGAAATCTCTCATTGTTTCAAAGCTAAAAACGCTGTTCCCAGAAACAAAGAAGCCATACATGCTAGTTTCGAATAACTTCCTGTGTATATGTTTTCATTTTTGAGTATCCTTCGCAATTTAATCTTTTATAAAGTGTTCTTAAAGTTTTATAAAATTCGTGAAATGCGCGAAATTGGTTTAAATTTCGAGTCTCTAACATCGAGAAATTTGCATTAAATGTTATGCGTTGATTTAACAGCTATCCCCAGATTTAGCTGTGGACATTTTGTTCTCCATCACCGTCCTATTGGGCGGTACTATAGACGCCGTTTAACGTGATCACGGACAGTCTTATAACTTGAATATTGTTATCGAATTGCCGAGCCCGATTGTGTATGAAAACATGGAAAATTCATCGTTTATTGTGATCAACAATTCGGTTAATATTGTAGGATTTTTTAGCCAGAAAAGTCGTCAAATAAGGGATAAAGTTGTCGAATAACGTCAAAATGAATTGTTAAAGTTTTTAAGTGTCAGAAAATATCGCCAGATAGCCTGTTTTCGATTTTAGCCAAACATTTAAAACTAGGCAAAAGAAGCAATGTTAGTTTGACTTAGATTTTGAATAACTCTTTCGATTTTAACGATGATCAGACACAGGTACCTCTTCTTGAGGAGAAACAAAATTCTGGAGAAACTTTTCTCTGATCCTTAAAATAAAAAAACATTCCCTAGTAAATATCTACATAAGGTTGCTTTTTGTTTAATTTTAAATTTTAAATTTGCATTTCGCTTTCAACGAGTGAGGAATACCCTAAGAGTATTAAGATTAAAGCTATTGCAGAGGTCAAATAATTTCCGGAAATGTTATGAACAATTCGCAAATTAATTATTGTGTTAAAGACATTATGAAAGATATTTCATGAAAAACTTTTGTATTTTCCTAATTAAAATGCTGAGGAAATATATATATGTCATTAGTTTTATTTATTTGATTAACCTAGCAGTGTTACCCAGCAAGCATTGCAATGCTACTTAAAAGAGAGAAAATATTTATGTTTTAGTTCTGTTATGAATCTTTTCCTAATGCGTATTTTGCATGTCTCTATTGATTTGTATCACTTCATACCAAGGTTGATAATGTTCAGATGGTGAATTTATTTCGGGCAATTTCACTTTTCCACATTCCCAGCATATTATGGTGCTTCATTCCTAAATTTGAGGGCTCTGAAATGCATGCATAATTTATCCACCTTTCCAAAGACCCCACCTGGGTGAAGATTGTAATCATAATTAACATCGTAATGAAATGAACCAAGATTTAAATCTGCATGCAGTGTTCGGCTGGATCGAGCAATGCGAACTCGAACGTTTTCTTGTCTTGCTTTCCGTTGTTCTTCTGTTTCTGGTGAAAGAGCCTCAGCAGTGCGTACTCGAAACGTTTTCCAGTTTTGCTTTCCGTTGCTTTTCTGTTTCTGGTGAAAAAGCTTGAGCAGCGCGTACTCGAAACGTTTTCCAGTTTTGATTTCCGTTGTTCTTCTGTTTCTGGTGAAAGAGCTTGAGCAGTGCATACTCGAAACGTTTTACAGTTTTGCTTTCCGTTGCTTTTCTGTTTCTGGTGAAAGAGCTTGAGCAGTGCGTACTCGAAACGTTTTCCAGTTTTGCTTTCCGTTGCACTTCTGTTTCAGGTGAAATACCCTGAGCAGTGCGTACTCGAAACGTTTTCCAGTTTTGCTTTCCGTTGCTTTTCTTTTTCTGGTGAAAGAGCTTGAGCAGTGCGTACTCGAAACGTTTTCCAGTTTTGCTTTCTGTTGCTTTTTTGTTTCTGGTGAAAGAGCTTGAGCAGCGCGTACTCGAAACGTTTTCCAGTTTTGCTTTCCGTTGCTTTTCTGTTTCTGGTGAAAGAGCTTGAGCAGCGCGTACTCGAAACGTTTTCCAGTTTTGCTTTCCGTTCCTCTTCTGTTTCAGTTGAAAGAGCTTCAGCAGTGCGATGTACTCGAACGTTTTTTTTTTTTTTTTTTTTTTACTCTTGCTTAATTTTGCTCATTTGTTTTAGAAGCTCATGATGCCTTTTTCATTCGTAGGTGTAGATCGAGCAATCAATTTTAGTTTTGGTGGCATAATTGATTTCACAGAGAAAGTAATGCTTCGCCACGACCCTTACAAATTCCCTTTAAAAAAGCAAAGAAGATACGTATGATGCGGTAATACACATGTTAATGCGTGAAACATTAAATATTGTTACGAAATTTCCAGCTGAAGTTAGATAACTTTCCCGCAAGACGAGTTTAGAGTTGCCAGTAAATGGCAAGGAAAGCGGGGTTACCACATTTGGAGTGAAATCGCCTATTTGGCGACAAAATTGGCGATATGCCATAGACGGATGGAGAACATTCTGGAACAAATTCTTACCGGTTTGGCCCTGAATGTTTCGAAGGCAGGCCAAAAGCTATAAACCCTGCCTATCCGCGGAGTCTAGTATCGAGTTGGTCGTCGAGTGTATCGCGAGTGTGCATCGTTGAGGCTGTCGAGTTTTATCTTGAAAGTACGTTAGGTTCCAAGAACGACCGAACCGAGTCCAGAGCTGTAATCTAGTGCTTTGCCGTGAATCTGTCTTCCCAGTTATAGCCTGAAGGCTGTGTTGCTGATCGTTTCAGCGTGCTTGTCGTAGTTTTCCGACGACTGTAAACGTGTTTTTGGAGCTGTCCTGAGAAATACTGGCAAAAAATTGTGTTTTCATTCTTCATCAAGTGTTGTCGTTAATCACTTTAAATCCGCAAATCCGTACAAACGTAACGATATTTTATGCTTTGCTAAATGATAACACACTATAAAATATTTTAATTTGGGCAACATTTGTCTTAAATAGCCGAGTTTGTTTCTTAAATTCGCAACAAGTTAATATAATTGCGTTTTCCTGAAGGGCAACATATTTTTATTATACCTCCGAGTTTTCTGATTAAATTTGAAACATATTTATCTTACGCTTTTCAGAGCAGAAACGCAAAGAGTGCAAACTCCATATGCTGCTTTTTAAGTAATCTTATGTAGACAGCGGCCTTCTTGAATTTCAAGTGGTGCAAGTTTCATAAAGATCGGAATTAAACTCTAGATTTGTATACAAGACAAACAAACATTCATTTTTATACAGAGAATTTATTTAAGTTGCATTGCTGTTTGGAAGGGTATAATGTTATCATTCAATTGTGTTATCAAAATAGCAATGGACAAACGTGATTACATAAAGGGCCCTATTGCATTTTTCATTAATTCATCATTAACTGACTTGATTTTAATCACATTTTCTCTAATTCATCACATAACTGACTTGATTTTAATCACATATTCTTTATTTCATCACATAACTATTGTATTTTTCTTTTATTCATCACATAACTATTGTATTTTTCATTAATTCATCACATAACTATTGTATTTTTCATTAATTCATCACATAACTATTGTATTTTTCTTTAATTCATCACATAGTGTAAAGATCGTGACTTGTAAAGATCATGACTTGTGAAGATCGTGACTTAAAGAGAACGTGAAATATAAATAATAGGACAAGAACTTGCATTTTACGGTGTGGCAACAAGAAGAGGATTCGAAAGATTTTTATATATATTTTTGTTTAGAGAGTGGAATGTTTTTTAATTTTTGAATAGTTGTAAGAGTTTTAACTGCAGTAATTAAGAGTTTAAAATTTTGATAGTTTAGAGCTGCAGTATTTATTTTTTTTGGTTCTGTTTTAAAATTTAAATAAAGGTATTTTGTTTATTCTGAAAAATTAGCTTTATTCTTCCTACAAGATTCAATATTCATTATATTGAGACGAAGGAAAGGATTTTTACTGGCGCAGTCGGTAGGATCGGAGTTTCCCCGCATATAATTACGAACCAAAATAACTCAGGTGAGAGCTCAATTTACCTTGGAAACGTAAAATAGTTAATTAAGATTATGAAAAGTTAATTATTGTTTCCGTCATGGAATCTTAGTTTATTTACTTGTCAAAGTAATGAATACGCCAGTGTTCAAATGTAATTTTCAAAGTAATGAATACGCCAGTGTCAATGTAATTTTCAAAGTAATGAATACGCCAGTGTTCAAATGTAATTTCAAAGTAATGAATATGCCAGTGTTCAAATGTAATTTTCAAAGTAATGAATACGAATACGCCAGTGTTCAAATGTAATTTCGTTTGACTCGCCAGAGTAGGTGAACAACACATTAAGTATTGATTCTACTGATTGATTTTCGTGTCGAATAAAATTAAATTCATTGTGAATTATATTTAAATAGAAAAAGAAAAGAAAAAAAATAGCTTTTCATAAAACTAAGAGTCTATTGGCTGAATAAAATCGAGACATGGCTTTTATGGGACGTGGGAAAAAAGAGGATTTGCTGGCTTTAGCTGCTGAATTAGAAATTCAAGTAGATCCAAGTATGAAAATCGTGGCGATAAAAAATGAAATAATTCAAAGTGATACATATGATGAAGCATTTGCTAAAGAAGTGTTTTTAACGATTATTGAAGAGAGGAAAAGAAAAGAAGAGGAACAGCGAAGAAAGGAGAAAGAAGAGATTGAGGAAAGACGAAGGAAAGAAGAATTAGAAGCACAGCAGAAAAGAGAGCAAATGGAATTTGAATTGAGGAAACTCGAAATTGAATCTCGTGTTCGACTAACACAAACTCCACCAACAAATGAAAATGGACATCATAATTTTGATTTAATTAAGCTTATTCCCAAATTCAATTTAAGACACGATGATATTGTGATTTATTTATCCTTATTTGAAAGACAAGCTAAAAGGACAAAGATTGATCCTAAAGATTGGGTTTCATGTTTATTGACTTTAATGCCATCTGAAATCATTCAATTAATTGGTAGGGAATCTGAAGAAAATTTTGAAGATTATGAGTACATTAAGGCCATTTTATTGAAGAGATTTAAATTAAATCCTGAAAGCTTTAGAAAAAAATTTGTGATGCACCAAAAGAGCGCTGAAAAATCATGGAGAGATTTTTGCTACGAAATTACAAGTTATTTTGAAGAATGGATCAATGGTCTTGAAATCACAAATTTTGCCGCGTTAAAAGACTTGATTATTACTGACCAAATTAAGAAAAGAGTACCCTATGAAGTAAGAGACCATCTTCTTGACGACTGGGCGAAATTCGTTTCTCCAACCAAATTAGCTGATAAACTTGACGAATATGACAGTGTTCGTAATATCTCAAAACAGACTGGTGGTAATCCATCAGCAGACAGAACTAATAAAAAAATGGCAACCTCGTTCTCCACTTCCAGAAAGAGCTTTCAGAAATAAATCGCTGTACGCTGAAAACACGCCAAGAGTGTACCCATCCCGTAAGAGTGACGAACCACAAAAGACTAATTTCAAATTAACTTGCTATAATTGTGGAAAAGAAGGTCATACATCTAAGTTATGTACCAAAAATCGGATACCAAGAAGTGCTTCTGCAACAGCACAAAACAACTTAATACAAACACAAGCACCCCTAGCAGAAAAAGAAAAACCAGAAGTGCTAACTGCCAAGATCTCTATTCCTGTCTCAAAATCAGTGGACGTATCTAGAAACATAGATGAATTAAAACTGGTCAAAGTTAAATGTGGAGATATTATTCTAAATGGAATCGTAGACACGGGAGCACAAATTTCAGTAGTCCGTGAGAAATTGGTTGACAACATACCTTGCGAAGGAGAAAGTAAAATAGAGATATCTTCTGCTTTTGGTGAAAACGAAATTACTCCACTAAAGATTTTCCAGATGAAAATTGACGATGATTTTCACGGTAGAGTGTCCATTACGTGTGCTGTTTCAAAAAAGCTAGTTACCGACTTGCTATTGAGTTCTTCAGCTTATGAAACACTCTGTGGAAATATCGAACTGTGGAACTGTGATCGTCATTGGGATGCATCCCCCTTAGAGTACAAAGAGACAGATGATAAATCCTCACCAGTTGAAGACATTACTACAAATTTGGCTGTTGTTAATCAGATTTCCCAAGAAAACATAGAGTCTCTGAAAACAACGAACAAGGTAAGACTAGAATTCAAGACACATCAAGAACAAGACGAAACTCTGAAAAAATGCTTTGAATGGGCAAATAAAAATCAAAATTCATATATACTTTCGATGATGGCATATTACTTCATTCCGAATATATCTGTGGTGAAAACATTAAGCAAGTTGTGTTACCTTTAGAAAAAAGAAGGGAAGTCCTAAGAATGGCACATGAAATCCCTCTTGCCGGCCACCTCGGTGAGAAAAAGACAATTCAACGAATCAAGTACTCATTCTTTTGGCCTACTATTAAGCAAGATGTTAAAAAATTCTGTGGAAGTTGTAAAGAACTGCCCTTTACAGAAATGGAGAAAACAGAAATGATAGAAGATGAAATTGTTGAACAGGAAGCACAGAAGGAAGAAATTATAACTGAAGAAACTAAGAGGGTAGAAACAGAAGATGAACTCAAAGAGGAAAAGTTAATTGACAGCAAAATAGCAGATGTAGAAATTATTCCACCTGAAAGTAAAAACAAATTTATGGGTGAGACTGAAATCCCAGTTGAAAAAGAAACTGTCAATGAAAGTAAAACTCAAGTAAATCTTGATTATGAGAACATAGAAGAGAAAGAATATATTGCTGAAATTGGAAACGAGAAGGAAAAAGTAGATGATAAAAAGAATGACTTAATAATCCATAAGAAAAGTGTGAAAGCTGACTTAGTAACTGAAAATGAAAATGTAAATCACACAGAAGCTGCAGATCTTGAAACTGAAAATAAACTTTCAGATAACAGTGAACTATTACAATTTACTGAAAAAGAAATTCTGGATGATAACAGAAACAAAAAGTACAATAAGGACAGCATAGATACTGTTGAACTGGGAGATGAAAAAGTAAAGTGGGGATGGATTATACAACAAAAGTTGAAACTGAAAAGGAAAATGTCATCCACAATGAAACTGAAAACCACAGGAAACCTTTCAAGTTCAAGGGTGAAAACATGGAAAGATTGAACCGAAAGTTATTCGGATGACAGCGAAGAACTGGAAGACGAGAAAGAAACGGAAGGAATTGCTGAATTAATAGAAGAGCCCGAGTCCGAGGTAGACGATCTACATCATGTTGATGAAGAATTATTAGAAAAAGAAGAAGAAAAATTGCTGAGATTTTTTTTAGTTTATAGGACTTTCACCAAGCACAGAAATCCCATATTTGAAGAAATTGATAAAGCTGAAACAATTGATGAATGGTATGAGCTACTCGACAAAGCCATTGGAAAGATAGAAGAGAAGAAAGATGATAAGGAACAACAGCTACTAGAATTGCCTACCATAGGTGAGAATGATAATGAAGATAAACCATTTACAAAAGAAATGCCCATAGCATTTTTCAGCAAGAAACTAACGCCCTGTCAACAACGATGGTCAACCTTCGAACGAGAAGCAGTTTGTGTCATCGAAGCCTTGAAAAAATTTGACACATGGATTTTCGGTGCCAAAGTGCAGATTGTGTCTGATCACAATCCCCTCACCTACTTGACCCAAAGCGCCCCTCATGGTGCTAAACTGTCTCGTTGGGCCTTAGCGTTACAACGGTATAACATGACTGTGACATACCGCAAAGGAAGTTCACATGGGAATGCTGATGCTTTGTCAAGGTTAGCTGTTAACTCTTTCTCTCTCAATGAACTCTGAGCAACATTGTCTCTACGGTGACGAATGTGCTTCTTGTGGGGGGACTTGTAAAGATCGTGACTTGTAAAGATCATGACTTGTGAAGATCGTGACTTAAAGAGAACGTGAAATATAAATAATAGGACAAGAACTTGCATTTTACGGTGTGGCAACAAGAAGAGGATTCGAAAGATTTTTATATATATTTTTGTTTAGAGAGTGGAATGTTTTTTAATTTTTGAATAGTTGTAAGAGTTTTAACTGCAGTAATTAAGAGTTTAAAATTTTGATAGTTTAGAGCTGCAGTATTTATTTTTTTTTGGTTCTGTTTTAAAATTTAAATAAAGGTATTTTGTTTATTCTGAAAAATTAGCTTTATTCTTCCTACAAGATTCAATATTCATTATATTGAAAAAAGGAAAGAGATTTTTACTCATAGCTATCGTATTTTTCTTTAATTCATCACATAACTACTGTATTTTTCTTTAATTCATCACATAACTATTGTATTTTTTTAATTCATCACATAACTATTGTATTTTTTTTAATTCATCACATAACTATTGTATTTTTTTTAATTCATCACATAACTATTCTATTTTTCTTTAATACATCACATAACTATTGTATTTTTTAATTCATCACATAACTATTGTATTTTTCTTTAATTCATCACATAACTGACTTTTACTTGACGGCATCATCTAAAAGCCAGATATGACCCAACTTTTATGGGCAATTAACTAAGAGCCCATAAAAGTGAAATTAAACAAATAAAATGCAATCTTAAATAATTGTTTTTGTCGTTACACTGCTTTCGCAATTCATATTTACATGTATTCATAAAGCTTGAACAGTATATGTGATTCGATGCCCTTTTCGTCTGCAGTAACGGAAGGAGTCGCGTGGGGGTTTACTGCGCAGCTAGCATAGCCATCGAACAAGCCATCGAACACGAAGAAGTGGACGTTTTCACAGCAGTCAAAGTTGTGAGGAGGCATCGGCCGCAACTCGTTGAAAACATTGTAAGTATATATTTTATGGCTTTCAGATGTATTCACGATTAAGAGACACTTCAAAACTCATCATCAGAGGAAACAGATATATTTTTATATGTGGACTGTGTTTACAAGATCGCACACGGTAAATTAACACATTTCAGAATAAAATTTAAATTTTTCCTACCAAATTTAAGGATGTTTGATAAAGAAATTGCTTGGTGCACGCAAATGAATACCATAATTTAGTGGTCTCAAATTGGCAGACCGCGAATGTATTTCCGTTATGTATTTGTTGCAAATGCGATGTTACAAATATTCCAAGATTTTTGTTAATTGAAATTAGAGTTCATGCCACTTCCATTGCCTTTAAAAACGAGCATGAAGTAACCTACCAGAAAATCTCTAGACGGAGCTAATTAATTTAATATAGTTGTCATTATCATTAAAACGGCACATCCCCGACCCTCCTGGCGGGCGCAAGCCAGCCGTATTATCAAAAAAATGGAACTGGCCAGAAAACATAGGTATAAGAAAAAAAAAAACAAAAAAAGTACAAAATCTGAGTCTCAATGCCGAATTCCAGTTCTATCTTTGTGAGTATTTATAATTTTCATTATTGTCTTTGCAAAATCTTTCAAATTTGAATAGTTCCTTTAAACATCGTCCTTAAAATTCTTTCTATATTTCTCACTTGTACTCCGGACAAGCGAACATTCATTTCTGGTGTCCCGAAACATATCACATATTAAGCATTTATCATTATTCTGTAGATGGAACTGATTAAAATAAGCATATATTAAATTAATATATGATATAAAATTTATCAAAGATTTGAATAGACAAATTTTATTAACGTTTATTCGTATTTATCAAAACATAAATAAGTTCAGTTACGAATTTTTGCCCTAAGAATTATAAGGTATTTTCTCCCTCCTTTATGCAGGTCTTCGTGGTGTAATGGTTAGCACACTCGGCGCGTATTCGAGAGGTCCGTGGTTCGAGTCCCGGCGAGGGCATTTCATCTTTCTCACATCTCCTATTTCAAAATAATCTAATGATTCTATAGTGTGATATGCAGTTTATTCAAAGATTTGAAGAGACAGGTTTCATTAACTTTTACTCGTATTTGTCAAAACATAAATAAGCTCAGTTACGAATTTTTGCCCTAGGAATAATCGCTTCGTTCGGGAATATATCTACATGTGAAGAGATTTTTTTTCATAGATGAAAATTATTAAGAAAAGAAGCCAGTTGACCGATGATGATTCACAATCTGTAACGAAAACATTTCTAGTAATTTCTCTCCAAGGCTACAAATTTTACCAGAGCCGAGACGCCATCATCTATCAAACTAGAGTAAGAGATAAAGAATATGTATTTTTATTTATGCATCTAAAAAAAAGGTAAATCTAAAGCCATTTATTTTAAGACGGGGTAAGGATTCGATATCTCGAGTCTGACGGTAAAAAATTCAAAGTTCTAATTTAATTAATTTTCAGCATCTTAATTAATACTAAATATTAATTAATTTTCTTTATTATTTTACTTACTTGTACTCAACATAATTACTAAGTAAAGTTCTAGCTGGTAGTTAAATTTGGTTCTTGTGCACTGATAGAGAGGCAAAATGAAAAAAATTAAAAATTCTAATTTAATTAAGTTTAAGCATCTTAATTAACACTAAATATTAATTAATGTTTTTATTATATTATTTTACATACGTGTCCTCAACACAATCATAAATAAAGTTCTAGCTGGTAATTAAATTTGGTTCTTGTGCACTACTCGGGTAGAGAAATAAAATGAAAAAAAAATCAAAATTCTAATTTATTTAGCAGCTTAATTAACACTAAATATTAATTAATTTTCTTTTTTATATTACTTACTTGTACTCAACATAACGACTAAATTAAGTTCTAGCTGGTAACTAAATTTGGTTCTTGTGCACTACTCGGATAGAGAAATAAAATGAAAAAAAAAAAAAAAAATCTAATTTATTTAGCATCTTAATTAACACTAAATATTAATTAATTTTCTTTTTTATATTACTTACTTGCACTCAACATAACGACTAAATTAAGTTCTAGCTGGTAACTAAATTTGGTTCTTGTGCTCTACTCGGATAGAGAAACAAAATGAAAAAAAATCAAAATTCTAATTTATTTAGCATCTTAATTAACACTAAATATTAATTAATTTTCTTTATTATATTATTTACTTGTACTCAACATAACGACTAAATTAAGTTCTACCTGGTAATTAAATTTGATTCTTGTGCACTACTCGGATAGAGAAACAAAATGAAAAAAAATCAAAATTCTAATTTATTTAGCATCTTAATTAACACTAAATATTAATTAATTTTCTTTATTATATTACTTACTTGTACTCAACATAACGACTAAATTAAGTTCTAGTTCGTAATTAAATTTGGTTCTTGTGCACTACTCAGAGAGAGACAAAATGAAAAACGTGCAGGCATTCGAAATAATCATGATTAAAAGTTCCTTTGGATTATTCACTTTATTTACAAAGAAAATGAATTTAGCAAGCTTAATAAAAGCATTAAAACATGGCAACATTTTTTTATGTTACGTACCTTACAAAAACCTGTAGGGTTCTGCTGTTTCTAGAAGCTCGAGTTAAAGTTCTGCTAACCCTAATATAGAGTGATAACAAATTAACGCCGAGTCAACAATCACAGAAGTCGGAAGAAGCTTAAAATAACCTTCTTATCTAAGCTTAAATTGAACAGATCAGGCACAGCTTATGCTGTAAAATAACTTTCCCTTCTTTGGGGGTGTTTAAATTAACATCACAGAAAGTTAAATTTCAGTGTAAGTAACGTAGTTCAGCTATTTATCGACACGTATTTTAGAACGTCTGCTTTTTCTTTTTCACACTTTTCTTATTAATGTCTCGTATTTTAACTGTTTTGCGCTATTCTGCACTTTCAATGTTTACAACTTTTTCGTACTTTTTCCCCCATCCGTTATAGTTATCTTTCTCCATTATTTCTAAAGCTGAAACGGGTAGACAGATATTGTTCTTACGGATTATATACATTGATGGAGTCACTAAATTGGTAAATGAAGGCCCATGCTGCTCAATCCCTATGTATCCTTCAACTTCTGGCTTCATGCATGTTAAACCAGCTGTTACACCTTCTCGTATACTCCCAACTCCCTTTTAAAAAATTATTTTAACCTATTGCTAGTTGTTCTAGGTTTTATATTCTCCCCGAAGTCCACAAAATTGATCTTTTCGACCTATAGTTCCTAACTTAGGGACAACATCAAATAAATCAGACGTTTGGACAAATATTTAGTTTCTAGACTTTCTTCTTTTCTTTTTAACATTACTGACACTGTGCAAAATTCTTTTGAAAGTCGTCAATAAACTTAAAGATATTTCTTGCCATGAACTCAATTATGGTACCTAGTGATTTTAAATCTTTGTTTTGTCGAAGGAGCACTAAAATTCCTTGACCCTTATAAAGTATTTCTTTCCCGCCTTCGTGGCCAGCACACTCGGCGCGTAATCGAGAGGTCCGTGTTTCGAACCTGGCGAGGGCACTGCTCATTTTTCATGTCTCCTGCTTCAGAATAACCTAATATCTCTGCAACCTAGACTTCGAAAATTCCATTTTACACGTACCAGAATTGAAAAGTTAATTTGTCTTAATGAAGTCTTTTTGAGTCAAATCCACTTTGTTTTCCAAAATAAGTATAATCGCCAAATTGAAGCATTATCTATGGATAATTCAATCACTTTATGACCACTCACCACTATTCTTAATCTACCTATGCACTATTCTGAGGTTAAATTATTTGAGAACTTATCTTTTAGCCTCTGGATTCGCTACGTCTCTGGATTCGCTACGTAGATTTATCACAGATTTTATCTATTACAAATTCGATTGATCCAGCCATCCATATCACTTTTGAAACTGAAGTTGACAATAGGCTTCCTTGACATTCGTATAATCCACAATGAATCTGTTTTCAGCACTGCTGCTTACCGTAAACTCTTTTCTGCTTATCCTCCCATGCTAAATCATGTAACCCTGTTAAGTAAAAAAATGGCTGCTTTTTACTGCTTTAACTATTACTTTTTCATATTTTTACTATTACTTTTTACTATTATTTCGCTCTTTTGCTTTCAGAGTTTGCTCTTCAGAATCTGTGCTTTCTAATATACTCAATTATTTGAAATCAGTTGCAATTGATATAAGATTTGCTCCCATGGTTACTGATACAGCCTTTAAAACATTTCCGTCTTTCCATCAAAGAAGACATTTTATTGTTAGAAATGTTAGTAACAACTTTGTCGTTCTTCCATTTAATGCTTCTATCGGTTATAAAATTGCACGGATTCTCCAGAAGTTTAATTTTTGAATCATTACCTCGCCGACCAGAAAAATCCATTGTTCTATAGCGTCTCGTATTCTTAGAAGAATAAACCAACGAGATGCTAGAAGACTGTGTGAGGTACAGTATCCTCAAGTACGACAACGTCCAGACAAGAGTGTAAAGAACCCTTTTTCAACTCAATATCTTTCACAGATGGCACAGACTCACGCTTACAAAAGTCAACACTTCTGGCTTAAAACTCAAAAGGTAACAAGTAAACTGAAAATGAAATAGAATTAAATTAGCCTAACAGTCTTTCACAGATTACATAACGCGCAGGCAGGCTCTGACTCGTAAAAGTTGGTGTAGACAAGCCGAATGGCTAGAAGCCCTCAATGCCACAGAAATCTAATCAGTAGTCCATCAAAGATAGCAACACGGCCTTCAGGCCGGCAGAACACGTTGTCCTCTGTTTTTGAATTCACCTTACGAAAACCTTCCCTTAAATACTAATTTCTCTCTACCTCATTTGTATACACGCTTTCTAATTCATTAAAATTCTGGCAAGAAAGCGTGTGTTGAAAATGATAATAATAGGAAAGGTTGCTTCAAAAATAAAATTAACTCTTCGATAAATTAAATAACTTCCCATAGTTCTGTTCTTAAAGATTA